AGCTGGGTGTTGGTGGCTCACGCCTGTAATCCTAGCTACTCAGGAGGCTGAGATCTGTGGGTTGTGGTTCAAAGCCAGCCTGGGTAGAAAAGTCCATGAGACTCTTATCTCCAATAAGCCACTAGAAAACTGGAAGTGGTGCTGTGGCTCAAGCCGTAGAGTGCTTGCCTTGAGCTGAAGAGCACAGGGATAGTATCCAAACCCAGAATTCAAGCCCCACGACAGACTATATATATATAGTTTAAAAACCTATTAATGACTGTAAAAAATCTTTCAAGAGCTGGGTACCAGGGGCTCATACCTGGAATCCTAGCTACTCAGGAAGCTGAGATCTGAGGATGACAGTTGTAAGTTAGCCCAGGGCAGGAAAGTCTGTGAGATTCATCTCCAATTAACTGCCAGAAAACCAGAAGTGGTGCTGTAGCTCCAAGTGGTAAAACACTATGTAGACTTGAGTGAAAAAGCTCAGAGACAGCATCCAGGCCCTGAGTTCAAACCCACAACTGACTAAAAAAAAAAATCTTTCAATGGGGAAAACCATCTCATTTTTTCAGCATTATCTCTGAATACATAAGCCCTGCCATCTTATCTTCCAATGATAGTGTCAAAGGAAGAGCTACTGCTCTTAACTCTGACTCCTATGATCCTTGGCTGCTCAGTTCTTCAGAATATGTGCTGTTTATTTTCACTCTCTTTTTTTTGGGGGGGGAGGGTCCAGTCATGGGGCCTGAACTCTGGGCCTGGGCGCTATCCCTCAGCTCTTCAGCTCAAGGCTAGCGCTCTACCACTTGAACCACAGCACCACTTCCAGCTTTTTCTTTTTGCTTATGTGGTGCTGAGGAATCGAACCCAGGGCCTCATGCATGCAAGGCAAGCACTCTACCACGGAGCCACCTTCTCAGCCCCTATTTTCACTTTCTTCTTCCTAAGTATTGAGACCTTACATAACCGTTAAGCCCATCTCAAACAAAACTTCCTCCATTTCAACATCAGAGTTAATACATTAACAATCCCGATGTGCCTTCTCCCAGTTATCCGTGAACTCTGATTATAATGTGAGTTCCCTAAGGTCAAAGGTTATTATCCCCTATCTTTCCATGCAGATATTGGTGATTGGTCAAGGTTATTTTTGTTTCTTTTTAGACGATGCTGATTATCAGAATTAGGTCTAGTGTGAGAGAAATCAAATTCGCATTCCACTGAAAGTGAATTTCTTTTTGAACTTTGTACTCTAGGACCTCCAATAGCCTCATTCTAGTTCCAACTCTGGAGATTCCCAGTTTACCTTGATTTTAGAAAGTGCTTATGGTATATTGTACTAGTTATCTACTGTTGCCTAACTAATTTCCTCAAACCTGAGCATCTTGTGACAGTATTTATTACTTCAAGTTCAGGAGTAGGAATTTGGGAGGAACTTAGTTCCTCTATGAGTTTTGTAACTCTAAGAGTTTTGCAAAAATGGCACAATAAAGATTATATTCTCCCAGGAATGCAATCATCTGAAGGCTCAACTAGAACCAAAACCTCAGGTTCCGAGGCTCATAGATATAGCTGTTGGTGGAGAACTGCATTTCTGTCATGTGAGTCTCTCCTCCAGGGCTGAGTGTCCTCAGAACATAGCATGTAACTTCTCTTGGGGCAAGTGTTCCCAAGTGAGCAAGGCAAACAACTCTACTGTCTTTTTTTGCTCTAGCCCCCAAATTTCACACTCCATCATTTCTTCCATACTCTATGAATACAGAAGCTAGCCCTACTAATGAAAGAGGAAACTGCACAAAGATATAAACATGAGGAGGCAGCAATCTGTGGGCCTCCCCTGCCACAGACATGCTAGTGGAATGGCATTAAATTTGATTGGATAGGGGCTGGGAAGGTGGCTCAGTGGTAGAGCGCTTGCCTTGCATGCATGAGGCCCTGGGTTCGATTCCCCAGCACCACATAAGCAAAAAGCAAAAAGCCGGAAGTGGTGCTGTGGCTCAACTGGTAGAGTGCTAGCCTTGAGCTGAAGAGCTGAGAGACAGTGCCCAGGCCCAGAGTTCAGGCCCCACGACCGGACCCCAATAAATAAAATTAATAAATAAATTTGATTGGATAGCACCAAGACAGTATCAGGCAATTGTCACTAATGCTTTCTAAAGTTTAATGTTAACATTTTAAAGTCTTCTGTCTAGTCACTTCTTAATACTCCTTTCAGATCTTGATCTTGAGGTTTCTCATTGGTATACTTTTGTTCACTTTCCTTCTACTTTAAGTAAGCAATCTAATTCTTAGGAGAGGATCACAAAGGCTCAATAGCTGTGTGCATATGATCACATAAAATGATGTTTTTCAGAATGAACTCCAAGGAGTGTCAACTAGAGGTTCTTGTTTATTTTGCTTTGTATTTTTTTTTGGCTTTCTCTGTTATTGCTCTTTTGGGTTCCTTTTTTGTTTTGTCAGTCCCGGAGGGCTGTCCCTGAGTCTCTCTTTGCACTCAAGGCTAGTGCTCTACCAGTTGAGCCACAGAGCCACTTCCAGCTTTTTCTGAGTAGTTTATTGGAGATAAGAGTCTCACAGACTTTCTTGTCCAGGCTGGCTTTGAACCTTGATCCTTGATCTCAGCCTCCCAAGTAGCTAGTATTATAGGTGGGAGCCACCTACTCCAGGCACTGTTTTTGATTTCTACACCTTTTGTGTCATTATGGGTAAGAGGGAGCACAGAAAGCTGGGGACAAAGGATGAGCCAATGCAGCAGTGATACTTACTGGACACTATGTTGAATATGAACTATACACCTGATGCAGGAGGAGTTGGAGGGAGGGAAAACTGGGAGAAAACAAGGGAAGAAGTGACATTGTTCAAAAAGAAATGTAAGCTGGGAAGGTGGCTCAGTGGTAGAGCGCTTGCCTTGAATGCATGAGGCCCTGGGTTTGATTCCTCAGCACCATATAAGCGGAAAAAGCCAGAAGTGGTGCTGTGGCTCAAGTGGTCGAGTGCTAAGCTTGAGCTGAAGAGCTGAGAGGCAGAGCCCAGGCCTTGAGTTCAGGCCCCACCACCACCACCACCACCACCACCACCACCAACAACAACAACAACAATAATAACAACATAAATAAATAAATAAATAAATAGAGGAGGCAGCAATACTCAATTGGAAATGTGCTCTTGTAACTGTAATCCCTCTGTACGATATCTTTACAATAAAAAAGAAATGTACTCATTGTCTGACTTATATAAATGTAACTTCACTGTACATCATCCTTACAATAATAATAAAAAATAAAAAGTAAAAAAGTAAATATTCTAGGCCTTCTCCCATCCTCTTGAATCTAAACTTTCAAGGAACAGGTTGAGCAATTTTCTTGACCATGAGCACAACTGCCTGCATCCAGATGCCCCAATGGTTATTAACAATGCTTTCTTCTAAGTTCCCACACACAGTGAAATCACGTGCTGGCTGGTTCTGTTGGGTGCCCTTGACCTTTGATCCCAACTAGACAAGCAGGTTTCTTTTATATCTTGTATACCTTATCTTTTATACCTTATCTTTTACGGAAGTTTTATGTCTTTTATATCTTATCTCACAGTGATCCTGGTCCTCACAAAGGATGGATTATTAAAACTCTGTTCATTATGGGGCTCAGGAGTATCTGATATATAATTACTTACAATCAATTTTTGTAATAAATTCTTATTTATCACAAATGTAGCAGATTGAGTAGTTGTCACGTATTGGGAATTTTGCTGTTTTTGGTATGTGTAAATTCACTTTGCAATCTTGAACATAATTATGTTTTAGTAGGGAAAAAATACACCGAACATACACAGTTAGAATTTTAAGATCCTAAAATAATGTCTGGATTTTGAGAAGTACCATCATTTTTTTTGCCCATAATACTGTGTAGGAAGGACCTGTTGGGGGCTAGGAATGTGGCTTTGTGGTAGAGTACTTGCCTAGTATGCATGAAGCCCTGGGTTTGATTTCTCAGTACCACATAAACAGAAAAAGCTGGAAGTGGCACTGTTGCTCAAGTGGAAGAGTACTAGCCTTGAGCAAAAAGAAGCTCAGGGACTGTGCCTAGGCCCTACATTCAAGCCCCAGGACTGTCAATACATACACACACACACACACACACACACACACAAATGAAACATGGGCTGGTTCTGTTTAATGATGGATCTATTGCTACTACATGTTTACATGTGGGGTCAAGTTTGGGAACAATCCATTTCAAATTGAATGACAAGTTCTATTTTGGAGGGCTAGGAATGCAAGAATAAAATTGACTGGCTGGTTTAAAACAGGTAGTCTAAACCGGGCATCCGTGGCTCCCACCTGTAATCCTAGCTACTCAGGAGGCTGAGATCTGAGAATCACCAGTTCAAAGCCAGATGGAGCAGGAAAGTCTGTGAGATCTTATCTTTAATAAACCACCAGGAAACAGGAAGTAGCACTGTGGCTCCAGAGGTAAAGTGCTAGCCTTGGGCTGAAGAGCTGAGGGACAAAGCCCAGGACCAGAGTTCAAGCCCCATGACCTGTCAAAAACAACAGCAACAACAACAACAAAAAGAAAAACAGGTAGTTTATATACTTATTCATTTATCTAGTCCATATCTATCTTGTGTGTGTGTGTGTTGTTACTATTATGTCATTTTTTTGCTTTCATATAAATAACTAGAGCTCAGAGTAATCAAGAAAATTTTGCCCCAGAAATAACAGAGTTACAGTGCTAATCCAGGCCTACAGATGTGTGAGGACATTGAAATCCTTCTCCCCCACTCAGCAGTGGCTTCCTGGGGGGGGAGGGGGGAGTGCAACATTGCAGATTCAACAGGGTGGTGACAAGACACAAGACGGTGTGACAAAGGGCCAAGGAGCCTCAGGGCTTAATTTTTCTCCAGAGGATTGTTTTCTCAGCAAACTAGATTCCCCAAACCACAGCTGAGTCTTTTTTGGAGGAACAACTAGGATTTAAACTGTTCCTCTAAGAGATGCTGTGTTCTTGGGCTCTGAATTGCAGAAGTTTTAGGAGCACCATTTTTGTTGGAAGACCCTGCAAACCAGTTCCTTCGTCTCAAAAGACATGCATATTCGCAAGATGGCTGGGATCCAGATCACAGTCCTAATGGATGGAGACTCACACTGGCTGACCAGGTACTTGTATTGGGAAATAGGCCTTCATCATTGATGTTTCTAAATTTACATCACCTCTCCAAACATAAAGATACAACTAGCCTAATTTTCATTTATCCTCTATCTTTTCTGAGTCATACTATCCCTGCCCATTCTGTAAAGTAAGCTTTCATCTAATAAATACCATTTCTTACTTAAAGACTAAACTTAGCTATTCTCTCTGAACTCTTCCTCTTCCTTTAAAGGCAGCATTGGTCCTTCTTTTTTCTCTCTCTTTTGTGTGCTATTTGCCCATGAAGAGCTCTCAAAGTGTTACATTTGTTTTATGTACCCAACCTCTCTACTTAGATTATAAAGGTAAGGTCCATATCTTATCCATCAAGCTAATTATTCCTTGGACTTACAAAATGACTGTTATGTACCAAGGATTAATGACTTACTCTGTGTTCAGCTAGGTGGATAAATGGATAATGGTCCCATTTGAGTTTACTCTGTTAGTTGTTCAGTGGCTAATTTTCTTGTGTGACAATTATCCAACCCTTTAATGTTTTTCCTTCATTTGCTTGCCTTTTGTATGAGTTCCTATTCATTTGCAATTTTACTTGAAGATAATAAAGAAGGAACTTGAATTAGCCAGTTTTATCTCCTGTTTGTTTTTCTGATGAAAGAAGACTGAAACACTGGGCAAACAAAATTGTTAAATTATCTGAGGATTCCAATTATTCCTGATTTCCCTCTTACAATTTTGCAATTTGGGTGGAAAAACCTATATAACTATTACTTAATTTGTTCCTTTATTCATCTTTCTTTTGTCCAGATATATGTATGTATATATATATATATATATACATATATATGTGTATATATACACATATATACATATATATGTGTATATATACACATATATATGTATATATATATATCAGGCTCTTATAATATCAGCAGAATTGAGGGTTGTACAAAATCATAAAAAATTGAATTTTCTTATTTTCATGTAGTTCCAATCCTACCATTCCCCCACATGGCTGCATTTTATCTGAGCTACCAAGATTAGCTTATTTCTGCTTAGCATTTGTTAATGAAAACCACCAGCCTGAATCATGTATCTTGTTCTATGTCTGATTTTTTTTTCTCCAACAGGCATCATTTAGAAGTATGAAAACAAGACATTTGTTTATTTGGCAAATTAAATAATTACATAGGCTGGCAGGCTGTGTCTTCTCCACGGAATGTTGAAATTTTCAAGCACATTTCCTGCCTATAATTGTATACCAGTTCTGTAATCAACTGACAGGTTCTGTAATATAACAGGACTATCACACTGATTCCTATTGTGACCCTACCAACATTGCAACACACTGGAACATTAGCATGTGCATTTCAGACCATCTGAAAGAGTGAAAAGCAAACCTTTGTTGGCATATGTCTGCCATTATATTTGTCCCATCTTTAAGGATATCTTTTAGATAATCAGAATAATGATTGTAACATGTATGCTACACATTCAGAGATTGTGACTTGGCTTTCTTTTGTTGCAGGCTCAGGAAATATGGGCTTCTTTGAAAACAATTGTACATTATTATTTGGACATGAATACCTTCACTTTTGATATATCCAGTACCCAGTAAATATACTTTGCTAGACAAAGCCGAACAAAGGTCCTGGGAGTCAGTATGATCATGAGCCAAAATCATCAGCTTTGGAGAAACAGGAACAACGCACGGCCATTTACTACATATGTATTATGTCTATATCACAGAGTTGTTGAACAGAGAAATCACAAAGGCCTGTATGAAGACCTAGAATTAGGTCTCAGTAACTGCTTGCTCATGAAATGAATTCTAAAATCAAGGACTTTTGTTAGAAAAGAGAAGATTTAAAAAAAAAAAAAAAGTAGTGTCACTAAACCACTGTTCATAGCTTTGGATTTCTGATTTCTATTGACTCTTCTTTGAGAAGGGTGTATATGTGTGTGTGTGTGTGTGTGTGTGTGTGTGTGTGTGTGTGTGTGTGTGTGTGTGTGTGTGTACACAGGCTTGAACTTAGGGCCTCAAGCTCTTCATGGGTTTCTCCCTCAAGGTCAATGCTCTACCAATTGAGCCTTACCTCCACTTGTGGCTTTTTTGCTGGTTAACTGAGAATAAGACTTCCATAAGCTTTTCTGCCTGAACTGGGTTGGGACCATGATTCTCAGATCTCCACCTTTTGAGGAGGTAGGATTATAAGGGTGAACCACCAGGTCCTGGCTAAGACACTTCAATGGCAGGGGGGGGGGGGGGGAAGGAGGGGGAGGTTGGTTGTGGGGCTTGAACTCTGGGGCCTGGGTGCTGTCCCTCAGATCTTCAGCTCAAGGCTAGCGCTCTACTACATGGAGCCGCAGCACCATTTCCAGTTTTGGGGTAGTTAAGTGGAGATAAGAGTCTCATGGACTTTCCTGCCTGGGCTGGCTTTGAACTGCGATCCTCAGAACTCAGCCTCCTGAGTAGCTAGGATTATATGCATGAACCACTAGCGCCTAGCTGACAGTTCTTTCTTTCTTTTATTTTTTTGTCGGTTGCAGGGCTTGAACTCTGGGCCTGGGCACTGTCCGTCACCTCTTCAGCTCAAGGTAAATGTTCTACCACTTGAGCCACAGCACCACTTCTGGTTTTCTGGTGGTTTATTGGAGATAAGAGTTTTGCAGCCTTTCCCGCCTGGGCTGGCTTTGAACTGCAATCCTCATATCTCAGCATCCTGAGTAGCTAGGATTATAGGTGTGAGCCATCAGCACCCAGCTAGTTCATTTTTTTTAATTCAGAGAAAAATGAATATCTTGAATGGAATTGGTAACCTCTGCTGGTTTTCAGTATTTACCACTTCCTAAAGCTAGACTATTTTGAGAGGATACTTTTGAAACTTTTCCCGTCAAAGGCATGCCGTCGAGTGTACTGGAGAATACAAAACTAAATCACATTGGGTCACAGATGATGACAGGGATGCACCAGAAACACTAATCTGTGAGTGCCAGCTTCCAATGTGGCTTTATACAATGTACATGCTTTAGGTTATGCCCCAAAACAGCTTAGTACTTGATTTAATAAGCAATAACAATTTTATTGTGATGATTAACTATATTACATCTTTGTCAACCCAACAGAAAAATTGACTCCAGAGAAAACTGGACCTCAGTTCTCATGTGACTTTCCATACAAATGTAGGATAACACTTCAGTTTTTCAAAGTACAATCTGTAAGAATGTCCTCCTTAAATCAAAGATAAGGGGGATTGTTATCTTCAAAAGTCTATTTTTTGCCATCTATCTAGGTCAGTTGTTCTCTGGGACAATAGCTTTTGGATGAAGTAAAATCAAACGTTGTCTCAAGACCATAGACGACCTTTGTGGGCTTAAGTACTTTTTCAGCATCAGGGAAATCAGGAAAATCACACTCCAAGAAGCTGTGAAACTGTAAGACTTTACCTACAGAACTTTCTTTAGCTTCAGGGGGTCTGGCAGTTGTTTAGTACTGTGTACTTTCTTTCCCACTGCTTAGAGGCCTCTTCAATGAGAAATCAAGGCTACTTTATAACTTCTTGTGATAATGATTATACATTGCTAATAAACAGAAATAATTGTGTATCAAAATACAACTGAATGAGGCCAAGGGTGTAAGTTGGTGGTCTATTATTTGCTTAGTAGGAAATAAGTCTAACATTGTTTCTGGGTATGATGGCTCATGCCTATCATTCTAGCTCTGCAAGAGGCTAAGATCTAAGGATCATGGTTTGAAGGTAGCCCAGGCAGATAAGTCTAAAAGATTCTTATCTCCAATTAAGAGGTATGGCTCAGATGGTAGAGCTCTAGCCTTGAGTAGACAAAGCCATGAGCGTGTGCAAGGCTCTGCCCTAGTACTGGCACATGCACACTCATAAAAGATCTTCCAGGACTGGGAATGTAGCTTAGTGGTAGAGTGCTTGCCTAGTATGCTTGAAGCCCTGGGTTTGATTCCTCAGTACCACATAAGAATAAAAAGCTAGAAGTGGCACTGTGGCTCACGTGGTAGAGTCCTAGCCTTGAGCAAAAGAAGCTCAGAGATAGTGTCCAGGCCCTGAGTTCAAGCTCCAAGACTCACAAAAAAAAAAAAGATCATCAATAACTGTATCATTACTATTTCAACAATTATATATGTCTTACTACCAGAAGGTCTATTTAATCATTTAATGAAATATTATAGGGATATCATTTAATGAAATATTATAAAAATATCTGCAAGCCCCAATTACTTAACGGATAAGACACTGACCTCCTAAAAGAATAGTCCTAAAAGAATACCTATATATCAAAAGTCTCTCAAAACATAAAAACAGTAAGAATGCATAGGATTATGTCATTATGGAGGCTCACAAGGCCAAAGTCTGCAGGGTATGCTGGTGGTGTTCTGAAGACTGCAAAGAACCAGTTTGTGTTGTACAGCATCTGCTGGCAGAATTCCCTTTTCTTTGCTGTTGATAAGTAAGTCCTTCTTTTGATCTATTCAGTCCTTAACTGATTGGATGAAGTCTACACTAGAGAGTAGTGGAGTTCACTAGTTTCAAAGTAAATTTTACACAAATATACCCTCACAGAAGCACACAGAACAATATGTCCACCATATATTCCAGAACAATATAGTCCACCACGTGTCAGGACACCAATCAAGTTCACATATAAAAGTAACTATTGCAACTGTGTCTTAGATTGGATGCACACAACACATCCACTTACACAGCTATAAATGGGGCCAAATTTGGTGCAGAAAGAGGAAAAGGCTTAATTCACTTTGTTCTGTGTAAAATAAAGATGCTGGGTAGATTGTACATCACTAAAGAGATGAAAATGTAAGCTGCCAAGTTGATTGTGGTATAAATAACACCGAGAAGCAATTGTGTAATTAGGATGTTATGAAACAAGCATGCAGAGAAGTTTCTTCTCCAAATGTAAATTTTATGAGAAACTATTAGAAATTCACATGGCATCAGAAAACAAACAGACAGACAAAACAGCAAAAAAAAAAAAAAAAAAAAACCCCGAGGATCTAGTAAAATAATTTGCCTAAAAATCTAGGACCCAACTATTACAGAACTGAGTAAAGTATGGTGGGTACACAGCTTTTTCAGGCTATGGACTTTTTACACAGGACTTAAAGACACTCAGATACTACACTACATATTTAATGACTAATGCAAAAACTACTGAAGCCAAAGCATCTCTAAAGTCAGTGCTTGAAGAAATTAATTACATCGAAGTGTCAGTTACCTAGATTGCTCGATTTAACTGATTATTTCAAAATAGTATGTGAGATGATGAGTTGATGTGAGTTATTTTTAATCCTTATTTTATTTTGTGTCTGCAAGTTATGGGTTTGGGTTTTGGTTTCTTGAAATGAGTCTCAGTATGTAACCCAAGCTGGCCTCCAATTTGCAATTCTCCTGACTCAGCCTCAGCTAGGATTATAGGTATGCACCAACACCATGCCCAATTTATGTCTCTACTTTATAAATCCTATGTGTGCCTATTTGGAGTTTTGTTTTCAACTCCCTTAAGGCCACTAGACTAAAGCATCTAGACAACATTAAGCAAGATAAAGAGAAACAGGGGCGATTCTTTTCTTCACTAATTTATAGACTGCATTTGACTTCTGTGGCTGTGATTTTCACATATACTCACGCCATGTTAAAAATGTAAATACTGTGGCTATGAATTCTCTTGAAATAGAAGGTTTCCTTCCTCAGCTCTATAAGGAACCATGGTGATTTGTCCTCTTCATCTGATTAATTAAATAAGTCCATTATTGGAAGTGACTGAGCATGACATTCCCACTCAATTTAAACTCTCAAGAGCCTTTAGTCCTAAATTAAGGCCCATCAGCCATACCATATGTATGTAATTTCCTATTTTCCCATGTCTTCTATAGAACAAGTGGACCAATAGGCTAGGGACCAGGAATCAGGCTGACCCTTATAGGGTATCTTGGACAATCCAAGCCCCTAGAATGCCAGTAATGCTGATTCACATGATCTCCTAGTGGGCATTACAGTGCTAATTTAGACCAAGAAAACAATTGCAATCTTCCATATGATGGAATAAGCATGGTTCTAGGCTTAGTATATAGCATGTTCAAAATTTGCTGTTAAAACAAACTTTGACCTTTTAAAAGTATTTGTTGAGACAAATACTGCCCAAAGTACTAGCCAATTTATCTTGTTGAATTATAACAATCTGAAAAGAGAAGCCCTTTTATAGATAAAAATGCAACTATCATTTAAGAATGTCTGGACTAGGGGCTGGGAAGGTGGTTCAGTGGTAGAGCATTTGCCTTGCATGCATGAGGTCCTGGGTTTGATTCCTCAGCACCACATAAGCAAAAAGAAAAAAGCCGGAAGTGGCTCTGTGGCTCAAGTGGTAGAGTGCTAGAAGAGCTGAAGAGCTGAGGGACAGCGCCCAGGCCCAGAGTTCAGGCCTTATGACCGGACCCCCCCACCCAAAAAAAAAAAAAAAAAAGAATGTCTGGACTTGGGAGTTTCACTGACTCCATCCAATCTTTTTTTTTTTTTTTTTTTGGGGGGGGGTGGTCCGGTCATGGGGCCTGAACTCTGGGCCTGGGTGCTGTCCCTAAGCTCTTCAGCTCAAGGCT